CCCCAAAACCCCAAAACCCCAAAACCCCAAAACCCCTACTGCATTAATAATAATTGAAATATTTATCAATCGCATTTAAGCTCAAAGTAGGGACTCAAGAAGGCTTCTCTTGGGAAACAGGAGGCCCATAGTTAAGAGGGTGGAAGCTATCCTCACTATGAAAGGACATCCTTCCTATCTCTGATCAATTATTATTTGAAATTCTTGAAGGAGTATTATCATGTCCTTCAACCTTGGCTTTCTTTGACATACCTGCCATAGAAATCTGGTTGTTCAACAGATTCTTGCTAAAGTAATTATCTGGCTTGGGAGCTGGCTTATTCTTCAAAGGAGAGTTATTCCCAAACAAATCAGATTTAAGCTTTTTCAAGTTAATGTCATATTTAACTAGAACGTTAAGACTGTAACTTACTATAATTCTTGTTCTTGTCCTTAATCTTTTGATATTCTTCTCTATAGATCTTTATCACTGGGATAGCCTTTTCTTCAAGAAACATGATAAACTTGAGCAAATCAGATTCGACTTCTTTACGATATGTCTTCCTGCTAGTAGGTTTGCCAGGAGAATTTGAAGTAAAGCTACGAGAGCTATAGGACTTCCCTTTCTGGTTCATAAGAGAAATATTACTGGGAGTTTTCTTTAGTCTTTCCAAGAGCTGATCCTTTTCCGCTCGGAGTCTTTTGAGCTCTTTGGTACTAATCTCAAGTTCTTTGTTCTTCGACCTTCATTGAATTTCTAGCTGTCTAGTTTTTCCCTGGAATTTAGCCATCATGTTTTCTAAAGCTTTATTTTGGGCTGCTAAGGTTTGAATGCAGCCAGTCTTGAGGATCTGGAAGATATTTTTGTACCTATTATCATGGGCCATAATACTATCCATTGTATGAGAGTAGAGTACCACTAATTTCTGAAATTGCTCCCTACTCTCAGAGTCATATTCCATAGTTCCGTTGAAGTTGCTCAGGGAGGGGATAACACCTGTGTCACTTTCACCAATACTGGCAAGGTAAGTGTCGTTGATATCTTTGATTCCGATTATCAATGACTTCTCGATTAACTGTATCTCATGATCACTGGCTATTTGGTTATTCGCTTTACTAACCTTTAGGGAGTGGCAATTCTGAAGTGTACATTTTGAGTTGCTCTTTCTAAAATAATTAAATCCCAAAACTTGCTGTTGTCGATTCTGTTTCATCGTTGCTAGAAGTGAGGTTTATTTTCCCAGTTGACGTATTCAGCATTGGGTGATTTGAACTGTATGTCTTTAACTGTCTTAAGGATTTCAGTGGATTCCTTCGTTTTTGAGGAGTGTCTATATAAAAGTAAGGATAAAATATACATTTCAAAAATCTTTACCTTGTAATTTGAAGCTTTCTTCCTTAATAGACTGAAGCATTTCACCATTTGGAGAACATTTTGGAGGTCTCTCTTGGCCGATACTTGTTACTTTATATGATTTTGTGAGCTCTCTATCAATAAAGCTCAATGTTTCCTCTGCCAATTTTAGCACATTCTTATCAGCTTTATTTACTCTCTGGATTGTCTATTGGTGGAATTCCTGATTCAGTGTCTGAAGGATCGTTAAAGAGACTATAGCTTGTATTCCTCAATTTCGAGTAGCTAGTGCTCATATTTTCCAATTTCCGAAGAGGGTTAATATTAGCCTTCGACTAAAGCAAATCAGAGATACAAAATTAATCTCTTACATTGCTCAAACCATCTGTATTTTTCTCCATTTTTGGAACGTAGCCTTTAGGAATTGGATTTAACTTCTTTCCTTGGAAAGCTTTTGGGAGTCCACAAAGAGATGAAAGAACGTTATTTTTGTTTCCCTTCTTCTTGATCAGATACACCAATATTATATCCCTCTGCAGCTGAAAGGAAATTGTCATCTATAATAATAAACTTCATCGGCTATATTGCCTACTTAGGTTGCCTAGTTGGGTGACTTTGCGAGTAGGAGTATAATCCTTATTAACTCTGTGTGCTCGATACTTATTATAATTAGAAAGAGCTGCAGCAGAATTTACCAGGTTTTCAGGGACTCTTTTAACGCCCTTTTGCATGCTGAGACTTCTCATATCCTTCATGAAAAATAATATAAACCTGAATTGGTTCTAGGGGTTTTGGGGTTTTGGGGTTTTGGGGTTTTGGGG